AAAGCACACTGGATCCAGGGACTTCCCTGGTGGCACAGGGAAGCCGCATAGATGCACAGTGGTTAAGAATCCGCCTGCCAATGTAGGGGACACGGGTTCGAGCCCCGGTCTGGGAAGATCCCACATGCCACGGAGCAACTAAGCCCGTGCGCCACAACTACTGAGCCCGCGTGCTGCAGCTACTGAAGCCCACGCGCCCAGAGCCCGTGTTCTGCAACAAGAGAAGCCACCGCAGTGAGAAGCCCACGCACCTCAACAAAGAGTAGCCCCTGCTCGCTGCAACTAGAGAAAGCCTGAGCACAGCAACGAAGACCCAATGCAGGCAAAATAAATAAATAAATAAAAAAATAAAGCACACCAGCTCCTTTCAATGGCTGCTTGGATGACCATTGTCTGGGTGCACCATCAGTCACTTAGCCAGTCTCCTCTCCTGGGAGGTTAGGACGGTTGCAATTTGTTTTTTCCATTTGCAACAGGCTTCAGAAGATGATCTTGTAGCTAATCTGTGGCCCATTCATGACTACTTTTCTTTCACACAAATTCCTAGGAGTGGAATGGAGGGTCGGGGGTGAGCAAGTGTTGGAAAACCTATGCACTTGTGGGACTTCCCTGGTGGTCCAGGGGTTAAGACTCCTTGCTTCCAATGCAGGGGGCGCGGGTTTAATCCCTGGTCGGGGAACTAAGATCGCGCATGCTTCGCGGCCAAGAAAAAAGAAAAGAAAAATCTATGCAGTTGAGCTGCGTTTCAAGGGTTCAGGGGAGGGGAGAGGGGATTTTAGAGGAGGGAATACCGTGGGCAAAGGGTGGGAAATGGCATCGGGAATTCCCTAAAGGCCTTTAGGGGAATAACAGGAAAGACTTGGCTTCCTGTCCAGAATCCCAGGGAAGTGGGATGGTGCGGCCGCGACGGTCTCCTGTGCGTCCTCCCTCCATCCCTGGGGGCTCCCCTCTCTGACCAGCCTCAGCAGGGAGCCAGGAGGAGCTCAGGGCAGCTGGTGCTGCTATCATCCCCAATATACTGACTCAGAACCTGACTTGGAACCCTTCCAGTCCCCAGTGTTCCCGCTGGGCTCCCCAGACCACACCATGTGTCCACCATGGATTGTCTTTCTGAAGTTCAGCTCCCTTGTCTCCTGGGCTCCTCCCTTGGTCCAAAACAATCAACGGCTCGGGTGCCTTGGGAAGATTCTTCTGGGTCCTGGGAAGATTCTTCTGGGTCTTGGGTCTCTCCTGCTGCCCCTGGCCTGTGCCAGGCTCTGCCCCAAGGTGTGTGGCCCTCCCAGCTTTGGACGCTTCTGGCCAGCCCAGCTTCTTCATCATTCTCTGGTCGTGTCTCTTCTATCCCCTGTCCTCCACCCTCACCCTTTTATTCGTCCTGCTCCTTCCCTCTGGAGTAGCCTGTGCCAGCCTCAGGGGGAGCCCATCCAGGGCTGGGAAGGTTAGGTCATGGCCAGGGGCTGGACTTGATTCTGCAGGTGATGGACGGAGGCACACTTGGTGAACTTTCAGAACAGGTCCTATTCTTCTAGATGATCCAGAACCCTACATCCTTCCACTTCCCCCACTGCCCCAGCGCCCAGGCTCTGCCACCTCCATTCCCGCATCCATCCACGCCTTCCGGGCCAGTGCAGTCAGCTCTGGGCGGTCACGCTTGGGGACAGGCTGGGGTCAGCTCAGCCACCCGTGTGAATGCCTGGGCTGACCCTGGGAGGTGCATTTCCATCCTTACCAGTGATTTCCTTGGAGGGCCGCCGGGCACCTCCCAGAATGTCCCTCAGGGGCTGGCAGGGGCCCAGAGATGTTGCCTGAAGCTGACGCCCCTGGTGGGACATTTCATCGGAAAATGAATTCCGGTGCTGGTTTCTGCGCCTTAAGGTGACTGCTTTGTTTTAATATTAAAATTCTGGTTTTGTTACTTACCGTGGAGAATATCGATCCTACGGGTTGAGTTTCTGGCGCCATCCTGAAGCCTCACTTGCTCCACCCACGCCCTCCCAGCCCTCAGCAGCGGCAGCCCCTCATCTCCCCGTGCAGCCTCAGAGGCCGCCACTGGATCCGCATTCTGTGTAAGCAGAGCCCCTTGGAGTTGTGCAGTCAACCCCACAGTTCTGGTGGAGAGGTCCCTAGGCTGGGCGGTCAGGAAACCTGGATTCTGTGTGACGTCGCTGCCGACCGCCCGTGTGACTGGGGCCACCGCTGCCCCCTCCCTGGGCCCGTGCCCTCATGCAGCAAAGGGAAGCCACGGGCAGTCTTCACGGGGCTGGACGGGGCCTCCCGGTTCACACGCTGTGACCCTGATGCTGGGAATCTCAGACGGGGGGTGGGGAGTGGAAGCGGAGCGAAGGCTGAGGACGGCTGGCGGCACTCCCTCCACTCACAGACGGCAGCTGGGGGCCCTGCCGCACCCACTGAGTTGGGCCCCCAACCCCAGCATGATGAGCGCAGCCCTCGCATCCCTCAGGAGACGGGACTTTGACGGGACCTCTGCTTCCACTGGCGGGAACGTTGCCGGTGGCTTGTGGCTGGCGCTAACCTGCAGGCCTTCTCCAGGGCCACAGCTCTGCGTGTGCAGGGCAGCCCATCCTTCCTGTGACCGCCCTGCGGTTCCTGCAGCTGGCTGAGGGGTGGGCGTGGGGAAGAGACAGCAGCCTGGCTCTCCCCCTCCACGCGGTGCTGACTCTCCCCGGGGAAGCAGGTTTTGCCGCCCCCCCCCCACATATCTGCCCACCCATTGGCCCCCTTTCTCTGCAATGTGTGTACAAATGGGGGTCCAGACCCCCTGCTCTGAGGCTGCAGGGCCCTCCCACCGTTGTGGGCACTCAGTGGAGGGGTCGATACACTAAATCCCCAGCTCCCGACCTCAGCAGGTGAAGAAAGACACACTGTCCGCCTGCTCTTCCTTGACCCACCCTGCTGCAGAAGTTAGCAAACAAGGAACATGCAAAGTAGCTCCTCCGTGCGTGCGTGCGTGTGTGTGTGTGTGTGTGTGTGTGTGTGTGTGTGTGTGTGTCCGTCCTCTGGGAAGTTCAGGCTCACTCCGGGTTCAGAAGCCCAGGTGAGCCTGGCCCTGCTGTGTGGCTTTGGGCAAGTCCCTTCCCCTCTCTGGGCTACACGGTCCTCATGGGCAAGAGGAGGAGCGGGGAGCAGGTGTTCTCCAAGGCTCTGGTGGCTCTGGTGGGTTGGCTGCCAGAGGCTGTCTTCCTTTGACCTCAAGAGTGAGGCTTGCAGGACAGGATCTGAAAGCCTGCTGAGGGGACCAGACCACCCTCGTATGCAAATCCCGAACCTCCACCCCACCCTCTGCACACCTGACAGGTCTGTGTAGGGGAATTCTTGCTAAAGTAAACAGGAAGAGCCTTTGCAATGAACTACACCATGGGGTCCTGCCCAGCAATACCCAGAGCCTGGGAGTCAAGGGATTTACCATTCCTTAAGGAGCCTCAGAATCCTCTAGATTCACAGCGGAAGAGAGGAAACATCTGCAGGTGTCATTGGGAGGAAGGGTAGACAGAGACTCAAAGAAGAAGACTTGGATCAGGCATCCTGATCCCAGCTCTGCACTTGCTTGCTGGGTGACCTTGGGCAAGATGGCCAACCTCCCTGAGCCTCAGTTGCCTGCTCTGTAAAATGGGGTAATGACAGCTCCTTTGCAGAGGGCTAGGTGGGTTAGAGACGATGTATGGAAACCCTGAGCCCAGCTTGTTACCCGGAAGGGACTCATTCAGAAGTGTTCATTGTGGTGGGCCAGGGACGGGCTTAGTGCTGAAAGCTAGAGCCCAGAGGGAATTCCTTCTAGCAGAGCGGAAACTTACCCACAGATAACAGCCAGTCCAGGTTCAGTGGGTCCTGAGCTGTAAGCAGAGAGCCCGAAGAGCTCAGTTTAGAAGCAAGAGAAGACCTCTGGCTGGAATGACCAAGGGAGGCTTCCTGGAGGAGGCGGCATTTGAGCAGGCCTGTAGGATGGGCAGGATTTCAAGAGGGCACATTCATGGCCTACCAACACTAATCCTGTGTTAGGCCCTCCTCACTGCCGTATACTCGTGGCCTCAGGGGATCCTCCCAGCAACCCACAGGAAAGGATTGCTACGTTTACCATTTTATAGGGGAGGGGCCTCAGCCTGGAGTCAGCCAGCTAGTGAGGGACAGCACCAGGCTTAACTTAATCACACCTGCAAAGTCCCTTCTGCCTTATAACATTCACAGGTTCCAGGGGTTAGGACATGGATATCATCTTTGGGGGCCATTATTCTGCCTACCATGGTGATTCCATTAAGGACCTTGAGATGGGAAGGTTACCCTGGATGACCCAGATGGGCCTGATGTGATCACCAGGGTCCTTGCAAGAGGGGGGCAGGAAGGTCAAAAGCAGAGGAAGGAGGTGGGCTGATGGGAGGTCCAGGTGACGCACTTTGAAGATGGAGGAAGGGGCCACAAGCTGAGGGATGCAGGTGGCCTCTAAAAGCTGGGGAAGATGAGGAAACAGAACCTCCCCTGGGGCCTCCAGAGGGAATCAGCCCTGCCGATACCTTGACTTTTAGCCCCGTGAGACTCATTTTGGATTTCTGACCTCCACAACTGTAAGAGAATACGTGTGTGTGTGTGTGTGTGTGTGTGTGTGTGTGTGTTTAATGTTCTGGCTGTGCTCCTTGGCATGTGGGATCCTAGTGCCCCGACCAGGGATCAAACCCACGCCCCTTGCGTTGGAAGCACGGAGTCTTAATAAGTGGACCACAGGGAAGTCCCCCTTTGTGTTGTTTGAAGCCACCAAGTTTGCGGTGATCTGTTAGAGCAGCCACAGGAAACTGATACAGCCCCAGCTGCATCCACCTTGCCCTCGCCTGGGGTCTTGTCACACGGGTCTCTCATGCCTCTGTTTCAGCACTTTATCAGTTTGGTCCCCCAATGTGTCTGTGAGCGACTATGGAGATTTCTATGCTTTTCAAGCCTCCCCAGCATCCCTCCCCAGAGCCTTAGGCACTAGCTTGCACCCAGTATGTGTTTAAAAAATGGTGGCGATATGTAAGTAAATCTGTGTCTTTTATTTACAGCTGTTGAGAGGAACAGGCTTTTGACAGCAGTAACTGCTGGTTTCCCCGTGGTCTGACCGCAGAACTAGAACCCCCGTGGCCTGAGTGCCGTCAGGAGTGGGGAACAGCCAGCACGTTGGCTGAAGCAGAGGGGTTCTAGGTCTCCCACTGGGGCAGGAGACAGCTCTGACCACCCATGACAGCCAGAAAGGGGCCTGCTGAAAACCGAGCTGACCAGATCCCCGTGAGCAGCAGGCAGGGGGAGGATTTCTCTGTGGGTCCCAGCTCTGGTCTGTTCTTGGCATCGCAGTGCACCTGGGGCTACTCTGGCCTCCTGGGCTCTGCCCCGGGGGCAAGGCACCGAGCCCTTAGACCTGTAGACAACATCAACTCAGAAAAGATCCAGCTGCCACACTTTGCAGCAGGAGAATTGTTGGTCCAGAGAGGGAAAGTGACTTGCCCGAGGTCACACAGCAATTTCGTGAGTCTCAAAACAAGCTTGACGAGTCCCGTCCAGTGCTGCCTCCAGGAGACTGGGGATCTGGGTGTGCGAGGCTGGCCTCCCTCCAGGTGACACGATCTTGGGGCAGGCCGGTCAGGAGCTGGGAGCGGGGACAGCCTCACTTGAGGTTGTGCTGGCTCTCGCGGTGCCGCCGCAGGTCCACTTTACGCTGGAAGCCTTTGGTGCACAGCTCACAGCTGAAGGGCTTGAAGCCCGTGTGCTTCCGGCTGTGGGTGATGAGGTTGGAGCTCTGGCTGAAAGCCTTCCCACACACCTGGCACTTGTGTGGCTTCTCACCTGCGGGGCGGCAAGGACAGGGTCAGGGCCGTTTGGACCAGACCTGCTGCCCCAATGCCCTGCAGTTGTTCTCTGGAACTTTATTATGTTTTATCGCACGTTCACTTTAGAAAATAATTAGAAAAGGGAGACAGGAAAAATACAACTCTGACCACCCAACCCCTCGGCCAATTGTACCCCGGTTTTAAGGCAGGGACTGGGTCCACCTTGTTTATCAATGAAGCCCAGCACCTGGTACAGGACCCTGCACAAAAGAGGCACTGGCTAACAGCTGAGGAATGAATGAATGGGGAATGAATGAATGAATGAATGGAGGGATGAATGAATGGTTGGAAGAATGAGCGAATGGATGACCGAATGGGGAAAGAATGAATGGGGAAATGGATAAATGAATGGCTGGAAGGATGAATGAAAAAGTGACCAAATGGGGGAACAAATGAATGGATGGAGGAATGAATGACTGAATGACAGAGTGGGGAATGAAGGAATGGAGGAATGAAGGAATGGATGACTGAATGAGCATGAATGAATGGCTGGAGGGATGATGAATGAGTGACCAAACGGGGAATGGGTGAATGAGTGGGGGACCAAAAGGGTGAGTAGCAGCATGAATGAATGAATGACCAAATGGGAAATGAATGAATGTGGGAATGAAGGAATGAATGGCTGGAGGAATGAGTGAATGAAGGAATGATGAACGAAGGAGAAATTCACCTGCTGGTCTCACTTCTACACACAGATTATCAGTGTCCACATTCTGCTATTTCCTTCCAGTACTTTTTCTACGCAGTAAGTAACGCAGCGTACCCCGCCCTCCTGTTGGAGCGGGGTGTCCTCCCCTGTGTAACCTGACACCCCCATCCCTCCCCACCCGGGGCCTAAAGCCCGCACCTTTCAACAGTGAAAGGTTGGGTGCCCGCAGGCTCTGTCTGGGCCCTGGGGTAGGGGGCTTGGTGGGGGCGGGGTGGGGGGAGGGTCGGCGGACCCAGGCCGGGGAGGAGCTCTGCTGGGGCAGAGCGCGGGCCGCGGCCTCACCGGTGTGGATGTAGGTGTGTTTCTTCATGTCCGACTTCTGGTGGAAGCGTTTGCCGCAGAACTGGCAGGGGTAGGGCCGCGTGTCCGAGTGGATGAGCAGGTGGGTGGACAGGGTGGACGAGCGCTTGAAGGCCTTGCCACACATCCGGCACTCGAAGCTGCGCCCCTGCCGGAGGAAACGAGGCCCCGGGGGGTCAGGCACAGGTGGGGCCTCGCAACCCGGGACTGCCAGGCTGGTCGCGGGACTGGACCCGGCTGGGATCCCCTGAGGAACAGGACACTCCATTGGGGTGGCCTCGAGGATGGGGCCTGGAGGAGCAGGAACCAGGGACCCCCATTCCTGCCTCCTAGGAGGGGCCGAGGCCTGGCCCCTGAGTGGCCTCCTATTAGGGGATTTTTCCCTTGTGGTTTGTTTAAGCGGCTGAATTGGGGCCCAATTCTGGCTTCTGCCTCTTACTCGCCACGTGACCTTTGGCAAGTCATTTAACCTCCCTGGGACTCAGTTTCCCCATCTGTACATTGGGTCATCATGGGTAGTGACCTCAAAGGATCGTTGGGAGGACTGGAGGTCGGGAACTGAGCTGGCAACTGGCACGTGGCACATTCTAACCATCTTTTCCTGCGTTTCCCACCTGAGCTTTTATATCTACCCAGGTGTTAGCAACTCAGGTCAGTGTCAGGTGCTTTCCCTGGAATGGGATTCTGAGGAAGGGATTTCGGCATCAGGTAGGGCTAAGTGGGATGAGATGAACATTTAAGCCTGATTTCAAGATTCTAAGAGTCAAGGGTCTCAGAGGTGAGAAACCTGTCCTGACCACCCAGGAGGTGGGGTCATTCCTCAGCATCACAGACATCTCGCTGCCCCCGAAATCCCACCTGAGCTCTTAGCCTCTTCCAACTGTACATGAAGCCAGCTTGGTCCATCAGGGACTCAAATATGTTAAGGGCGGGTGATGGAGACCCAGAGCAGGGCGGCAGATAATGAGGGCCCCCCGATCTGTCACCTTCAGGGGCACAGAGAGAGACCCGCCGAAGCCCCCTAGGCTTCCTGGGGGGAGCACAGAGCAGGAGTGGGAAGTGAGGGTGCTGTGCTCAGCCGGCTGCCCACCTGGGAGTGGACGTGCGTGTGCTGCTCCAGGCTCACTGCATGGCCGAAGGTTTTGCCGCAGACGTTGCAGGCGAAGGGCCGGGTCCCACTGTGGGAGCGGCGGACGTGCACCTCGAGCCCATGTGGGGTGGAGAACACCTGCAGGAGGGGCAGAGCATGAGGCCCCGGGGGTGCAGAGAGGGAGAGGGCCGGGGTCCCACCTCTGCACCCAGCTAAGCCACAGGTGGGTGTACAGGAAAAGGAACACTGTATTGCCGATTCTGCTGCCATGTGCTGTGTGTCCTGGGAAGGTCCCTTTCCCTCTCTGCAGCTGGCTTTCCTGTCTACAGAATGGAGTCTGGGAGTGGGGATCTGGAAGGCCCCTCCTGGCCCTATCTGAAGGCTGAATGGCGGTTAAAAAGTGGGAGTTGGGCAGAGCCAGGTTTGAATGCTGGTTGTGATATCTACTTGCTGCGTGCTATTGGGTAAGTGACTCAACGTCTCTGAACCTTAGCCCTTCGTCCACCTCCCGGGGCTCATGCATGTCAAGTGCTTAGCACAGGGATGAGCACATGGTCAGGGCTCAATGAATGGTTATGAGGGTGAATGCTGTGAGTCCTTGATCCCACCAGAGGACCCAAGAGTCACATCACAGGGGGCACCCAGCTCTGAACACTTGCAGCTGCCAGGGTGCTGGAGAGGCGATGCAAGCAGGACCCGAGAGCCCACCCGCATCCCGGCCACCCACCTTGCTGCACTTGATGCAGTGGTATGCGTCCAAGCCCGGGGAGTAGTGGAGGCTAAAGTCCAAGGGCGGCTCAGTGCTGGGCACCAGAGGGCTGCCATACAGGCTGACGGAGCGCTCCAGGAAGGCAGACTGCATGGTGGAGGGGGCCTGCTGGTAGCTGTGCCCATAGGATGAAGCCAGGGCATCCCAGGAGAATCTGGGCTTGTAGAACGGGGGTGAGTCGGAGGATGGCGAGCCCTCATCCTGGGGTCGGGACGTCACAGCAGGCCCCTCTGTGGAGAGTGGGACATATACCTAGTGGTGACATTAAAAGCAGGGCACCCACTCCCCGCCACCCTCCACTGTGACCTCATGATGAGGCTTTGGTGTGTAGCCCCAATTATTTACTGGGGGGTGGTCTGGGTCCTCACTGTGGCTCCTTGGCTTTTCAGTCCAGAAATGTGCCCCAAACCCTGCAGAGTGCCCACCTCACCCACTACGTGGGCCTGTCCAGCTGCTTCCTCTGCCCCACCACACAGAAGCTCTCATGTGGGAATGAACTCCCCGTCCTGGAGGGATTCAAGCAGAAGCCTGAGAGCCCGGACTGTCGATCCTCCCTGACTCCACAACTCCGAGAGGCCCCACTTCCACAGGCCCATCCATCCTCCATTCCCCTTGCACCCGCTGGGGAGTGGCGGGGGTCCCCTGCTGGGTACCTGGGGCGGAGGCCATCCTGGTCATCAAGCTCTGGTCCAGCTCCAGCTCCGGCTCCCGTTTGAGGTCAGTCCAGTCCAGGCACTGGTTTGGGAACAGGGTGCTGAGGACAGGGTTGGTGCTCAGGACCTGGTCCCTGGCCACTGTGGGGAGACAAGACCGTCAGACTTCAGCTCTGGGAAGTCCGGAGGGACTGGGGGAAGGAGGGGCACTAGAGAGAGACCACTGCTGCCGCCCCTGGTTCTTCCCAGGATGGTGGGAGCAGCGTGGAGGCCAGGAGGAGACACCCGCCCTCCTCTTCCCCTCCCCTCCCCTCCCCTCCCCCCCTCCCC